GTAGACTTGCTTCTTTTGTCACCAAACTATACAGAAAGGTGCACTTATGTGTAACTGCAAATGTTCAAACGCTGTCTCCTAACTCGCTTTTTTGTGCAACTGCTTGAGCATTTTTTTTTTCCTTTGACTTTTCAACTTTGCTCTCTTCCTCCCCTCTGCTGCTGCCTCTGTCTCCTGCTTGCACCACAAAAGCACGCAGCCCACTCGAGAGCTCCGTGCCCTGCCTAGCGACACGCACGCTGGATGATGAAATCCAAGTGCAGCGCAGCCCCAGCGTGGGATGGCTCAGTAAGTCAGAGGACTGGGATGCGGGGAGCGGGCTGGGGGCTTCCAGAAGGAAGGATGGGTGACTGGCATCAGCTGGTGCCTTAATGCTCACTGCTGCTTGAACGGGGGAAAGACTGGAAATCCATTCTTGAGAGAATGGAATAGCTGCTATACTGGCTGCCCATTCACCCCCACCACACCCTGCTCTTTTTTCACTCTTTTGCTTTATTTGTTTGTTTTTCCTTCCATCTATAGTGGAACAGGTAGGTCAGTCTGCACTCCATTTCAGACAGTAGGCTATCTTGTAACCCATCTAGCAAAATTTCAGTCATGTGTTGAAACATCATTTGGTTGTTGAGAGGGTTTCATGAATTTTGCCATCAGTGTAATAAAATAAAATGCAAAAAAGTTAAATATTTTAATTTCCATATAAATTAAATACAAAAATAGCTGCCCTTTGTCACATAGCTCTCAGACGCCTCCAGCTTTGTCTCTCTGTGATGAGCTGGGCTTTTCTCAGGCTGCGTGTCATTTTATCCTTTGTAAAGTATTACTCATTGGGAGCCTTGCTGATCACATAGGAGAGCTGTTCCCACAGAAAGGCACAGCCTGCTGCTCTGATGATACAGAGATGTTCTTTATAAGCCACGGTAATATGTAGAAATCTGAATTTCAGGATATTGACTGTGAAAGACTGTGGAAAGATGACTACCAAGCCTGTCAGTAGAATGAGGCAGTAAAACAGAGGAGTTTGGATTGATTGCCTTACCTTTTGCACCAGTACTTTACTGAGCACAGCCAAGGAGAGATGCATGTTGCCTTTGCCAAAGAGATGGCAATAGAGGCCTGAATCACGTAAATACCCTTAGTTAGCAAACATTGTTAGGGTCATCATCATGTGCTGACGTCTTTGGCTGAAATTTCAGCAGCAGAAATCTTTTATATTACTGATTTGTTTGTGGCACTGAGAGTCTCTGTAGACTGATAGGCTCGTTGCTTTCTTCTGCTCCTGTATTTTTTTTCCACTCAGAGAAGCTGTACACCTGAGGACTCAGTCCCCTCTTTCCTGTCTTCCTCAAAAGTGCTATTGCTGGGCTTGTCACACGTCACATTTCCCTGTCACGGTCATTTCCAATGTTTGAGTTTGCTCTTATGGGCAGCTCATTACACAACACCAAAAAAATGCCACATCCATCCTTCAGTGGTGCAACTGTTAGGAACGTGAATTTGGAGACCTAGGCTGTACAGATTTGAACGATGATATCCATAAAGCCAAATGGCTTTTGGTAGAGGTTTGCACATAACACATCCTGCATTTGTAGCAGCATTTGCTTCTTAATAGCGGGTTTACTTCAGTCAGTATAAATGCAGGGATTTGGGGCAAACTTCTAAATGCAAGCTGCAGCACAATCAAGTTTGTTAGGTCAGCAACGATGGTTAAAGGTGATGCTTATGGCTTCCAATCTCTCACTGACTGAAGTAAAAAGTGAAGCAAGAAGTTTCTTTAGAGAAAACAGGACAGCAGTGTTGAGTTGCCAGCTAGGGATTTATGGGTCAGCCTGAGGATGTGACAAAAGAAGTTTCATGAGACCCTTCAGCCCCACAGGTTCATACTTCTTGTACAGAGCTTTGTCTGGTGCCCTCACTTCTGGGCTCCATTCCCTTGTCCTTGTTTGGTCTTGCAGAGGTAATGCTGCTGTAGCAGTGATGATTTAAGAGTATTTACGAGGCCATGTTTGTAGGGAAATGCGGTATCTTTATGAAATCGATACTCGGAAGTGGAAAGGATGTAATTTTTTTGACACATTGGCTTGTCTGCATCTGGAATAAAAAAGGGAAACCTCAAGAAAAGAATTCTCTGAGAAGAGCTTCTGTAGTTTGGTGTGATTATGTTGATCATGCTGGGAAATTGAGAGAAAAGGTGATTGCTGCTTGAGAAGAAGAGAGAGGTGATAGTTGTTAGCCACTTCCTCTAGCAAGAAAGGTAATAATCTTCTAACAAATGTTCAGTCCCAGACTTCTAGTAATAGGGGAAATACATGCTGTAGTCCAGAAAGTTATCACCTATGAAGGCTGGGGACTCTCATTTTCAGGACTGGACCCAGAAATCTGTAAAACTGCCTAAGTGGTGCTCAGGAAATGAAGAGAGCTTCAGCACATACGATTACTCTACAATTACGTAGTGCAGCTCTTCTGAATAAATTGTATTAAAACCACGTTAAACAACCATATAAAATAAAATCATCATCTGCATTTTCTGCACTTCCTCAGAGCGTTTTGGAAGCCGTACTTAGTTTCTTCTCAGCTAGAGGCATTAGCTATTCCAAGACTCAAAGGTATCATGATAAGACTGGAAGAAGAGGAAATGGGTCTCTGTGCTGCACTCTCCCTGGCTACAGCAGTGGAACAGCTCTCACAAACTGGTGAGAGCTTGTGGGGCAGGCAGTGTGGGATCTGCCCATCTCCATTGGTCTCTGAACTTCTCCAGATCTGTTTAACTTCGCTGAATACTTTTTTATTTATTTTCTATCACTTGCCAGCACTTAAGTGAACTGAGTCTTTGCTTTGAGTCACTGATCTGCGTGAAACCAATTACCAGTGTGAACAATCTTCACATTTTAAAGAAAGTGCTTCCCTACCTTTTTAACTGATTGTATTGGCTCAGATTTGCAAAACAGCCATGTGCATTTCTATATAGAGCTTCAATCTTTCATTTTAATTTAACACTATATTTATAGCTTTGTCAAAGATTTCCCAGAGTTTTGGCAGTATCTGCGCAACCTTTCAAAGATAATTACTCACACCATGTAAGAAAAAGGAGCCTTGGATTTCAGTAATGGGATTCAGGTTTCCAGGAACCTGCTTTTAAAAAAAATATATAATAAATCCATCTTATCTTTTATTATTTATTAAATATCTACATCTCAAAGTGTTGTGTACACCTTTTTAGAAACACAAAGTAACGTCTCTTTCATGTAAGAGATGCAATATACATAAACAAATTTTATTACTTTTTTCCTGTTTTACATACATGCTCATCTCCTCTGTACAGATTCATATCAAACAGTCAATCAAGTGCTGTAAATATTTCTAAGTTGGGCTTGCTAATAATTAGGAGAGTGGTTACTAATATATGTAGCTTAAACCAGTCCTTCAAGTGGCATTTCTCATGCTATGAATAAGCATATTTGTAAGAACTTAGTAGATATAGGTGGGGTCTTAAGCCTGGCAGGCAGTAACAACATGAAGAAGAAAAATCTGAGGATCTTCCTTTTATATGATACACTTGTGCTTTGCTTTTGCTGTGCTGTCATTCCTGGATTTGGCAATAATGCACAGCAGGTATACTGTGATTCAGAGTGGCTCATGAGAAAGAATATCATAAATCTGTCTCTGTATATATGGAATATATTGTAAGGAAAACCCAGCTGGGGGGTCTCTGCGGGTGGGGGAGTAAGGGGGGTTGTACAGATCTTTTTCTTACGACTCCTTGTATTTATTAGTTATTGATTATTTTATATAATTATTAGCTGTTTCTTGATATTCAGATATATTACCAAGTTCATTTTTCTGTGGGAGTTGATGGATGCTGGAAATTTGAACTTTCATTTTGTTACGAATATATAAACCATAAGTTTAATCAATGTTGTCTCAAAACATACACTAACCTAGAGATATCTCAGAATTTGGGAAGTGCCTCAGTGCAATTCCTTTCTGAGTGTTTTCTGTCTTTCCAATTATGCTGATGATCATCAGCACTGTGGTAGGAGCTCCTGTTGCTATGCTCCTGGTTTCTGAAAGAAGGGTGAAAAATTTCAGAACAATTATTAAAGAGCATGCTGATTGCTGAGTGTTGGGATGTTGTATCCATCCCAGAAGTTTCTTTGCTACTTTGTGATTTTTCTTCTTTCATGATTATGGCTGTTTCTAGGCTTTCTTGCAAGTCCTTTAGAACTATTTTCATATATTCTGCTACTCTTTGAGAGCATAAGAGTAAATAGGAAAAGTAGTCTGAAAGAGAGTAAGCAGCGCTTGAATGCCATCATGCCAAGCTTAGAGGAGCAGCTGGCCTTTGAGAGAGAAACGGAGTTTAAAGGCTTTAGCTCTTGGTCTCTTTTTCTCTCTGAAGTATCTGGTGTCAGGAACTGGAGACCTTTTTGCCTATTGATTTGACACACGTGTTGTTTCAAACAGTAAAACCCTTAAGATTTATGAGTTTAGTTAATATGGGTAGTGGTGAAAAAGTAGAATTTTGTTATCTGCTGTTTCAAAAGACCAAGAGCTGCCAACCTTCCTCCCTGTGAGTTGAAGTATTGGATGCAGAAGAATACAGGCAGATAGCATCTCTGTAGGATAGCTGTGGCAAAAGGTTGGCAGCAAGGAGGGAGTATTCCCCTGCTCTGTAAAGAATGGGTGACCCAGTTGCCTCTTTTAGCAGCCAGTTGCTATTTGGCTTCCCCACCAGCCCAGACAGGAATTAGGAGATGTCCTTAGATACTTTTTTTTTGCAGTCCTATGAGCTGTGGTAATGCTTTGGGTCAGAAGTGAACAAGGTTTAGAATCTTTCTATCCCATGTGCCACGTGAAATTACAGAAAGCAGCCTATCAGGGTCTTAAATTGTCCACATCAACTTCCCATGTGCAAGGAAAGGTGTTGCTGTAGCCTGAGCCTCTGTGTTCTTCTGACTGGATTTAAATAGGTGCTTTAATTGGTATTGGCATTGTTCTTACAGGCAGTCCAGCCATGACTCACAGAAATCTGACTTCCACCAGTCTGAATGACATCTCTGACAAGCCTGAGAAAGATCAGGTAAGCTTCAAATTTGGACTTCACTTGGTGATGTGTTTGATTAGGAGCTGGGTGTTGAGGAAGAAATAGTTGTACCGGAGATCTGAAGAAGAAGAAAGTGAGTAAGGTGAGTCAGTTATTTCTGAGTCCTGTGACAGATTTTCCACACCATCAGCCCTTATTAAATTGTCGTAAGGTGTGAAGCAAGTACCACCATGTATGGAAGCTGCCTGGCATCCCGCTGATGTCTGTGAGAAGGGAACGGACGACATCCTGATGTTGATATGTCTAATCTGCTTCCTGCTGAAAAGAGGCTCTTCAGAGGTTTCAGCAGAGGTCTCACAGCACAGTAGCTCAGGTCAAGCAGCATGCCGGGGCTTACATTCACAGGTGGGATGGAATAGAACCAGAGTATTGAAGGGGATGTGTCCCCACTACAGCAGCTATTGTAATAGAATGTATTGCCTCACCCTTTGTGGTGCTTCTGAAATACAGCCATGCTAAAAGGTAAGTGTGGAAGAACAGCTTCAAAACGTAGATGCATAATAAGGTTAAAATTGTTTTTTAGTGCCTGCAGAACTGAACTCTTTCTTACTAGCCTCCAAAAAATCTGTCTAATTTCTTAGAGTAATGTTTATGGTATTATCATATGGACTTTGTGTATGTTTTTGTCCTTACTTAAAGCTTAAGAGTGTGAGGGGTGTAGTGATTCTTTGTGAACTCTCTGAAACCTGATGTTTAAATGAGGTCTCTACAAATTTCAAAAAATGGTCTTGGTTTATAAAGCGGGTTATTTTCAAAGCATGACCATTTATTTTGGCAAATCTTTTTTTTTTTTTTCCCCACATCTCTCAACACTCTCTAGTCTTGTGATTATTCTGAATACAAATGAGTTACTCTAGGAAATTATTTGGGCTAGATAGTATATGCTGACCAGCTGAGGAAAAGCTCTAGTCCTTCAAATAATGCCTGGTTGTGTTCTTCTGGAAGTGGAGCTCTTCCATAAAGTGACAGAGCAACATAACTGTAGAAAAAATGAGTTCCAGTTAATTGAATGTGGCATACCTATTTTTCTCCAGTCCTCCTGTCCTTTATTCCCCACCTGGCATGCAGTTTATGCTACTGTTATTTCTAGATCCTAAAAACTATACTACAAGTCTTCCACTTTGGTATTTGAAAAAGGGAAGAAATGGCTGGTAAGACAAATAGCCCCATAATGTTGAATGTGCAGAGTTTATGTAATAGAGCAATGAAAAAAATCCCTCTAGTACCTGCTTTAACATACAGAAAATACTTCAGTGGAAAAAATGAGTGCAGTGTGTTTTGCAGTATTTTTCAGTTGTAACATACAGCTGTATTAATTTTTTCTCCAAAATACTTTTATGTATGTAGCCACACACAAGGAAAGAGTAATTGTAAAATCGCTTTTTCACTGGAAAGACTGCTGTTTTACATTTTTAATTAGACTCTAATTGAGGTCTTAGAGTAGCAGAGAACTAGGTCTGAATGTTGCAGCAGGCTGCTTAGATTTTATTAGTATAAATGTCTCAATTGTTCCTCCTACTGAAATGTCTGTGGACATGTACAGATAATAGAGTTTTTGTCTAGAATTGTATACTAAAATGTTTTGGTGGGGCTGATACTGAGTTCGGTTAATAAATCCAATTTGGAAATGTGCTCCAAAGTTTTTAGCTTTCAGTATAGATAATACTTTACTGTTTATAGTGAAAACTGTTACTTTTAAACTAACAAGTTCCAAAAAGCCGCTCAGTTAATTAGCTCGTGTCCTTCTGATGAACTTTGCACAATGGAACCCTTGTACTGTATGCTTGTTGAAGCTGGTCTGAGAAATCACCTTAGCTCTCAATTTTCATTACTGATTGACTGAAACTCCTGTCCTGATAAAATCTGTGAAACTGTGATGATGCCTGGCAAATTTCTTGAGCAGAACTTAGCATGCTGTACAGGCACGAGGGAATAATTCATGGTGTTATGACAACAGGAGCTGGAAAGAGAACAGATTCTTGCCTTGACATCAGAGTGACTGGCTTTCATTATCTTGGTATCCCATCTGGAAGCCTGACAGTTAATGAGGCCATACAGTGAGATATCAGTCTACTGAAGAAAGAGGCTGTGCTGTTTTCTATTTATCTGTGTGTGTGTGTGTGTATCAGAGGTCAGTTTATCTTTAAACTGTGACAGACTGAAATCTGTTGGTAACAATTTCTTGGAGTTAGACTGGGACCAGATCTCTTTCATAAAACATCATTTTTGCATGTATAAAGGAGAGTATTGTGTGCGTTTTAAAGGAAAAGAAAGCTCTGAACAAAGTTTTATATAGCATCAATAGTTTTCCTGCCTACCTACATCCTTACTTTCAATTTTGTAATCTTTAATACTAATTGGAATGATGCAATTTACAGTAGTGACAATAAAACCAGAATCCCCTTTTTATCTGTTTCTATAGGTTTTTACTGAGCAGAAAGACACCTTGGTAGACTTAAAGTAGTGGGTTCTGGATGCTCTCTCTTTGTGCAAAGCGTACAGCTCAGATGATGTTTCCTGTCTTTCTCTCTTCTCCCCCAGCCCTTTGCCACTTAGAGAAGTGTTGGTGAATGCTTTGGAATTACAGTATGGCCACCAGCCCTCACTTAATGAGGTTTGACAGAGCAGATTTTGTGACTGTCACACAGTACTACATGGAAAAGGATGTGGATCATCCTTTGGTGCAGCTCTTGCCCTGTAGAGCCCTGCTTGCTCTTGCCAGCGGGTACTGGACTCCCCTTGCTAAAAGCAGCTTAGCACATTAAAGAAGCTGTACTTTTCAGTACCTTCAGCTTACCTAGGAGTATCTTTTTACCCAATATCAGTCTTCAACTCCAGGATTCTTTAACTTTGTGCATCTTGAGAAGCTGTGTCTCCACTCAGTAGCAGTTCCATCACATGCTGTTGGAAAAGCAGGCTGGTCCTGGGCACCCACCTGTTGCATTCCCCAGGGTGTTGTAAGGTCTGAGTGGAAAACTGGTGTCTTCTGTTGTATGATCCTGATATTTCTTTGCAATGTGTTTGGGATCCTTCTCTGTGGAGCCAAACCTGGTTCAGATCTCTCTTGGCAGTCTGCAGTTGCCACACCACCATTTGTCTTCAGCAGGGACCTTCCAAGATTGAGAGAAGATGGTGTGTCCTCTGCAGGCTTTGTGAATACTGAGGGGAGTGATGGGGTGAGCTTTGCCATAAACATTAAGATGATGAAGTGGGGATGTGACTGCTTTCAATACTGAATTGTCAATTTCAACTCCTTGTTCCTAATAACAGGGGATTTCCAGTGGTAGGCTTTGAGGTTGAAGTGAACAAAAGGTCAGAAGAGGACACTGAGGGGAGGGAACTTTCTGCATAAGAGTGGAATGCGTTGGCATGTTATCTAATATACTTGATCACATCTCTTCAGCTGGCCTATTATTGACAGTGGTGCTTCAATGTGGGTGCCAGGGCAGTGCTGCTTTCAGGTGCTTTCTTGTTTTTGTTTAAGATAATTGAACTAAGGAGCAGTAGGCAGGTGAGATCTCAGCTACAAAAGCAAAAGCCCAGATTGACCCCTCCAAACAAAGGCAGCGTCTGCTGTTAATCTGGTCTCCTGAGCTTATTTTTCGGTCCCTGTGGAGAGCTGGGATTGCAGAGTCAATTGAGGTTTGAGGTGGGCTGGTTACCTCTTGCGTAATTGCCTTGTTATCTGCAGAAGCAGCTCTGCTATCACAGACAACAACTAAGCAACTTGAGCTAGGACAGATGCATTCATGCTTTCATGGATCTGTGCCATGACAGCACCCAGGTGAGGTACAGTCACAAGACAGAGAGGTGTTACAGCTGCTTGGGTTCTAGGTGAGGGAACGGCAGTGAGATGTGCTAGGAAACAATGGACAGTTTTTAGGGTTTCCCTGAAGATCTGTTAGAGGATTGTCCATGAGGGTGCCTTCCTTGAGGTTTGTCCTGCCCTGCAGAATCATTGCAGGAAGCTGAGAAGAGATACGAATGTTTCAAGGCAAATACACGGTGGAGGTTGTAGCAGCTGAACCGCACTCCTCCAGGAGTAGGGGAGAACAGTAGGTGTCTGAGGCGAGTGAGTGAAGATAATAATCCTCTGTTTTCTTGTCACTGAAACCTCTATATGACAAGGAGCCAGGCTCTACTGCACTGATCCTGAACCTGGCTGGATGTTCTGCTCAGCTCTCTGGGTTTCTCACAGAGTGCAAAGATGGATGTTGAAGACTGACAGCACTGAGGATAGGAGCATAGCAAGAAAATATTTACAGTGGTCCTAGGACACACTGACATGAGTACAGTGACTAGAAATAACAAGAGATAAGATTTAATTAAAATCCTACATAGCACTCAGATTTACCTGCATTAAGCTTTGTGAGGTTGGTTCCTCTGCCCTTAGGGATGGGATGGTTGAAGGCTTACTTTGGTTTTACTTTGATCTTGCTTTTGTTTTGCTTTTCTCATAGTCTTCGCTGTCTTAATACACTTCCCAGAGTTAATCTTCTTACGGAGTAACCATTAAGCTGTTGTCTGAGGCAAAGAAAATGAACTTAGAATCTGCCTCGGAAAAGGATGCAGTCAGGAAAGGATGCTTGGGCTCTTCCCAGAGGATCAGCAAGTGCTGCCCATTCCCTAAGTGCCAGGGTAAAGAGCCATTAGCTAGAGAGGAGAGAAAAGGAGCTCCTTGGCTGAAAGGCACTAAAGGAGCAGATGCAGGCTTTACTTACAGCTGTTTTTTTCCCCTCAAAGGATTCACCAGTAGTTGAAATCAGCAGCATTCAGCTCAGTTGTGCTATTGCTGAACTTTTCTCAAGGCTTCTATCCTATGTATTCTGTTGCATGCAGCTATCTGCAGGCCTCCTGGCCCAAACGGAGAGTTTAGTACATAGTGTAAGTGAAAGACAACGTTTTAAATATCATAGCACTCTTTTTTCCCCTTTGATTTGTGAAAAGCAAATGATGTCAAAGCTGAAACAACGAAA